ATAATTGTTGGTAGTATCCTTTGATTATTTTTCATATTTTCAGAAGTCATTGAATTAATTGCTGAGTCAATACGCAATGCTGGATTTACTAAGTGTGCCTCGGTAGTTGATAACCGTTTCATACTAATTTGGTGATATGCTTTTGATTCGTGGTTATTTAGAAGCTTTTTAGACTTGTTGTAGTTTAAAAATGGTGTTTTCACAAAAACACCCAACTTCTCTTTTTCAGATACTCTCAAGAATAATACACAGGCAATGCACCTTTGTAACTATTTTGATTACTGTATCTTAGCCATTTAAAATTATCAAACCATTTTGATTAAAAAAAATACTTTTTGTCTTACCTTGAGCAATTGTAAAACTCTCCTTTTCAAATATGAAATTAGCAGATGGCTTCCAACAATTGTTCAAGAAGTTAATTTTTTCTGAATCACTCATTTTTCAAGAATATTTTAATCAAGAATTGAAGCAATGTCAGTGCAACTAACTAAATTTAATGGTTGTTGCACTCACAGTGGGTCAACTGAAGAGACATAATTATAACATTATCCAATGCAGATGATGAACTTTCTTCAACTACTACATTTGATTGTTGGGATATACTGACACGCACAAAGTTGGCATTATCATTGACTTGAAGGGCTTCAGCATTAACATTTGAAGAAGAAATGCGTGCAAAACACTGCTGTTTAAGACGTTTGCTAGGTGGACCATTAGACATACTAAAAAATTATATATATAAATATATATATATACATTTATATAAATATATATACATATATATATACATATATATATATATATATATATATATATATATATATATATATATATATATATATATATATATGTATATATATATATATATATATATATATATATATATATATATATATATATATATAAATATATATATGCAAGGCCGGCGCGATAGGGGTGTGTGGGGGGTGTGACACCCCCCATCAATGATTTTTAGTCGGCAAACTGGACCTTTTTAGACTAGTTAGTCGGCAAATGTCGACCCTTTCGATATAGGTTAGACAGTCGGCAAATGTCGTAATGACAGTCGGCAAATTTTGGAAAACGACGACTTTTTTTTTTTTTTTTTTTTAGTCGGCAAAAGTTGTAATGGCACCCCCCCACGTGACACCTACCACGTGACACCTACTATATATATATATATGTATACATATATATATATATATATATATATATATATATATATATATATATATATATATATATATATATATATATATATATATATATAGTCTTGCATATAGCAGCACTCCGTTGCGAGTCAGGCTATAAGATAGTCGATGTAGCAACATTTACGCATGTTTAAAAAATGTTTTTTATTAAATCAATAACAAAAACACCACTAATTAAAAAAAACTTTCTAGTCGTTATAATTGCGGTTTTTTAAAAATTTTTTAAAAAACAATTAAATTTAATGTACTTCCGCATAAATTAATTGCTTTGACATTTCGATGACAATCAAAAACAGCTTAAGAGACGAGGTATTTAAAATTGTAGTCGTAAGAGACTTTTTTTACATTAAAATGCTCTTAAAGCGACACTATATGAGTATATATATATATATATATATATATATATATATATATATATATATATATATATATATATATATATATATATATATATATATATATATATATATATATATATATATATATATATATATATATATATATATATATATATATATATATATATATATATATATATATATATATATATATATATATATATATATATAAGTTATTTATCATACTTAATTCAAAGCAGAAACTAAAATCATCCAATCAAACTCAGCAGTGTTGCTTTGAAAGGTGATAACAAACCCACACTTTATAGAGAAATTGCAAATTGTACTGAAATTTGATCAAAATAAAATTTGATAAATACTTTACACTAACCAAACAAACTTCTTGTGCTCTAATTACAACTCTACAAGTATTTCTTTTGTATTTCAATTGTATTTCTTATGCATGATTTCCTTGAAGAAGGCTTTACATTTGTTTATAGTTCCAATTTACAAAGTGATCCTTTAAAGCTAGGTTTTAGTAAGTACAGTTAAATGACCAGTAGTAGACTTTTTTTGAGTCTTTTAGAAATATGCATTAGTAAAAAGATTTTGGCAGATTTTCCCAGAAAATATTTATCAGAATTTTGATAATCCTTAAAAAATATTATGCAAAATATTTCTTAGTTGTCTACATAAATACTACTGTCAGCTTTCTGAAGATAGCACCGATATATATATACTAAAGCAAGTAATAATGGTAAAAATTAACAAAAAGGCTTTAATGTAAAACTTATGATCAATAAATGTTACTTTATAAAGAGAAGAACCTATATATTCAATTCAACCTCTGTCTAATTTTCGTTGTCATCTTTTTAGTATTTTATGTTATTTCTCTTATAAAACATTGCAGTCATTCTTTTTCAATTAAAAATTTGTGAAACAAATTTTAAAGATTTGATCTAGCAGTTTTATTTTTACAAATAAAAATCACCAAAAATGGGGAATCAAATATAGATTTCCTATTGTTAGCAATATTTTTTATAATAAAAAATTACATATTCATTGAGAAAAGATCAAGTAAAAGAATTCCAAAAAAGACAAAGACAAAATAAACATTTCTAACAAAAATTTCTTCTTTTAATTTCAATTATAAAAAATACAAAATTACAAACCTTTTTTTTGTTCAATAGAGAGTTTTAGGCAATCTTAGCAACATGAAAGATTATTTTTAGATTAAAAGCGTAGGTACCCTTAGGGAGGTAGAGGGTACTAAAAAACCGTATGGAAAAATGCGGGGGGGGGGGCATGAATTATTTTAATGAAATTAATTCTCCTGAATTTGAAACCTCTTATTTTTATCCTAGTAACGTGAGCCTAGTGAGCAAAATTTTTAAAAGCGATAATGAAAGTTATTATCTCAATGCAGAAAAAAAAATTTTGAAAACTTATTAAATTTTATTAGCGAAGCAGAAAGTTCTTTTAATTTTATTTATTTAACTGAAACCTGGTGTTTACATGCAGATTTTAAAAATAACTCAAATCTCCATCTCCCAGGTTTTGATCCAGTAATTTTAAAACGAAGTTCTAACAAGCGAGGAGGAGGAACTTTTTTTTTTGTCTAAAATAACCTTCTATATAAAGTTCGAAGCGAAATGTGTGATGAAAACAAAGAGATTTTAACAATAGAACTTATCAATAAGCGTTCAATAGTTATACTAATAAGCTGTTGTTACAGGCCACCAAGTGGAAGAATTGAAAACTTTGGCAATTTTTTACGAAATAACATAATAAAGAAAACTGATCTTGAAAAGAAAAAAAATTACTTAATCGTTGATTTCAACATAAACTCCTTTGATTATTATGAAAAGTTCGAGAAAAAATTTTGATGGTTTATTTTAAACTGGAACAATACCTTTAATTAATCGCCCGACTAGAATCACAAGTCATTCATCATCATTAATTGATAACATTTTAACAACCGATTTTTTTAATAAGTCGCTAAAAAAAGGGAATTATAAAAACCGATGTTTCCGATCACTTTCCAATGTTTTTTTTCTATGAGTCAATTTAAAAAAAAGAGAAGCAAGAAAGGTTTTAATAAAAAAAACGGCTTATCAACAATATTAATTTAAATTCTTTCAGAGAACAATTATCGCTTATAGATTGGGGTTATATTAACTTTAATAATATTGCAATGAAATAGCAGCCGTGGCGCAGTGATTGCGCACTTGCCTCAGAAACGTAAGATCTGTGGTTCAAGCCCCACCTCTGGGCAATTTTTGCGACATCGGTTGGGAAGGAGGCGTGAATTTCCTATTAAATGCTCTTCCGCGGTGCTCTGTGATAAAACCGTAAGGACTTCTTGGGGCACCTTAATCAACTTAAAAAAAATAAAAATAAAAATGATAATATCATTCGCGGACTGGGGTTTCAAATCCTACCGGAAAGGGAAGAAGAAGGGGCGCTACAGGGTCTGGATAGGGGTAGAAAATAGGCTAGTGTTTATATAAAGGTCTTTTTAATTTGAATATGAATAAGTAAAATAATGTTACACTTTTAAAGTTAAAAGTTCATTCAGGCTTACAATATAATTCAGTATGTCATTTTACTTATGTATGAAATATACATCTTAATTATGAACACAATGATAATAATAACAATAATAATAACAATAATAATAACATTAATAATAACAATAATAATAATAATAATAATAATAGCAATAATAATAATAATAATAATAATAATAATAATAACAACAATAATAATAATAACACGATGATTTTATTATGATAAATGAATAATAAAACTCTTTTTAAATCATTTAAGATAAAAAAAAACCAAAATGGATCCTGTGGTTTATCTGGTATTTATACTGTAACTGACTACAATCTCCTAATGTAATTTATAGAAGCAACATCTTTGATAACTCTACGGAATCCTTTCACAAATAGCCAATTACGTCCTTAACTGCAATTGAATCCAAAATGTCCTTCTTGGTCGACATCAACATAAATATTTCAAGCTTGTCGTTACATAATGAGTAACGCAGCCTAGTTTTGAAAATTTTTAATTTACTAAATGCCCGTTCACAGCTCACTTGTGAGAATGAAAGTGTTAATAGATATTTTAATAAACAGTTACATTCAACGAATATTTGTATAAAATATTATAGCAACATTTTAAACATTTTTTACACAATGCTCAAAGTTCTAAAAATCTCTATCATTCTCATTTTCAGTATTCACGTTCATCTATGCTAGATGAACGTGGATACTTCAACCTTCATCTATGCTAGTGGAAATTACCACTAGTATATATGAACGTGGAAACGTTCATCTATGCTAGTGGTAATCTGATCAATTACTCTACGGAAAACATCCATTCTGAAACGATCAAGAGGATTCTCTGGTATGTCATCAAAGGCGAGTTCCCCTGCCATACGTTTCTTTCAATGAACTTGTTCTACACGCAATTCTATTTTAACTTCTGAATCAAGTTCACTAGCATCTAGGGTGTTGATTTCTTTAACAAATGCAGTTGTCTTGGAATGAACATCTGCAAACGATATTGTCTGCAGTTCTTGTTTTGCTGACTCTACCATCTTCCAAGCACTTAAATAATCCAGACCTCTTGTTTGCAAATATTCGGATGCTTGTCGCAAAACGGTGTACTCACGTAGAAGAAAGGCTGCAAGAAGTACATCGAATTGACACCATTTATCATGCAGTGCTGTGGCTTCGAATGTTGATTTTGCATCGAATTTTAAAGACATCCTAATACAATTAAAAACTTGCAAAAGAGCATAAATGATTCCACTTGTGGAGCATCATAAGTTCTAAAAATTCGTTCAAGCGCCATCTGCTTCAACCACCAACGTGTTTCACCAATTTTTTGCAGTCTTTTCAGTTTCGCAGATCCAACTCCTTGTCCAATGTGAATATTCGTCCAAATGTTCGTTCGTTTGCAAGAATCGCCGAAGTTAGTTGCTGTACTCTGCAAGAGACCAATTAAATTTTTGACACCTAATATATTTTCCACAATATTTGTTGCGGACAAATTTAGAACGTGCGCGTAGCACCACATGTATACAGCATTTGGTGAAACGTTGTTAACGTAAAGTTGAACTCCATGATATTCACCACGCATGTTTGCATTTCTATCAAATTCACCCACAATTTTTTCCATTTTTAAACCATTGTGTTCAAGCTCTGATTTCAATAGTTGGTATAGTCCTGCACCTGTTGCATCAGTAATTTTTTTTACCGCAAATAATCGCTCTTTCACGTCCTCTCCAAGTACATATCGTTGGATTATTATCTCCTGATCAATCACCGACTTATCTTGACTACCATTCATTTGAACACTGAATTTCTGATCACCAATTTCCTTGATTATAAAATTCTTCATCAAGTTTGAAATAGCAGCTAGAATATTGTTAACTGTAGTCTTTGACAACATTGTTACCAAGCCTCCATGTTCACGTGAGCTTCTTTTTCCTTTACGTATCAAACAATCTTTCTTTTTTTGACTTGCCTGAATAGCTTTTTTTATATGATTATTAAAAAAAATATCAAACTCTGCTATTAGCAATAATAGTTTCAAAAAGTTTCCTTGATCAATAGATTTATTGTGTAAACTGTAGAGAGATTCACCCCGATTACCTCTGTATGGAAGAGCTTGCTTCCCAATAAAAAATCACTGCTTCAAAAATTTGTTTAAATACTTCGATGTTTTTCAATACTTGCGCTTTCTGCTTTTTTACTATACCTATGTTGATTAAAGAATTTCTCTGTTATACAACTTAATAGTGCAATTACAGCAGCGTAATGTGATTTAGGTTCCTCATAGTCTTTGATTCTTTGGTATATATGGGAGAACTTGTTAAATCCAAGAGTAAAACTAGAATCTTTTTTCAAAAATGCCATGCATGCATTGCAGTAAAGTGCCACAATTTGATTGTCTTCAACTTTTGCGGTTATCCAACGTCTTTGTACATACTTATTATCTGATATTAATCTTTGGTACACTCTTTTAGATCATACGGTAAATGCTTTATATCTGTATGATTCGGCTGAATCATGTTACTATTTACTAATGCTATTCTTTCGTTATGCTGTGCACTGTCACTGTGTTGCTGTGCACAGTCAACAGCCGTTTATAAATCAAATTTGTTGTTTCGGTACACTGATGTTTATGGTTGAGAATACTTGAGTTTGCATCATCTTTTGTTAGTTCTATATACACAGCATATATACTTTCTTCGGTAACAACTGCACCGAGTTCTGACGTACAATCTTTTATAGTTTTTACGGGCGATTTGCAAATGGTAAAAGTTGATTGCTTATTTTACTGGAGGACACTGTATTTGACACGGTAGTTGCTTTAATGATTACGTTAAGGGTTATATTCCACAAAAAAGCATTTTTATTAATTAACATTGGGTTTGACGCGGGAACAGATGCTTCTTCAACAACATTGATAATATGTTCATTATTAAATAGCAGCTTGCGTTTTTTAAGATCACGGCCTGATTGAAGCAAATCATGCTTATTCTTTTCTTGTCTACTTTTGGCACCATTAAACTTTCTCCTAGACTTACATAATGTTGAGTCAGATTTTGGAGCGGCCATCTTATGTTCATTAGACACTGAAGAGTTCGCTTGCTGGGAAGTTACGTACAAAGTTTCCATAGCAATCTGCACAATGTACAATGCAATCACTGTAGTAACATAGATGTACAATGCAATGTGCAATGCAACCACTGTAGTAACATAGATACATTTAATGACTATATAAACAGTAAAATCTCGTTAACTCGGACTCTCAAGGCAGGCCCGTACCTTTATTTTTAGGGGGTCGTTTTGGAAAAAAAAGGCATTTTAGATTAGTAAACTTACCTTTTGCTCAATTTTTACATCAAAATTTGTTCTGAAAATTTTTTGTCAAAATGTTTACTAAGCTATACTCAAAATCTTTCAAAAAGACTTTTAATCGAATAATCTGGAAAAAATGCCCCAAAACACAATTTGTTTCAAAAAGTGTTTTAAAGTTAGCTGTTTTCTCAGCAGTTATATCTTTTAATGGATGTTACGTTTGGCATAACGAAACATTTCAACAACTTGGATTTCATTGTGAAAAATATTTCCTTCTTAGTGCAATTAAAAAGGGCAACAATCACATCATTCATATGGAAAGGAAGGAAAATCAAGGAGGAAAAATTGAGAGGTATAAGAAAAGGATTTAGCAAGGATGATGGTTATGTGTCTGGAAATTTTTAAAGATATTTATTTTCAAAGTTGTTTTATTTTTTTTTTCTTGCGTTTTCTCTGTTAACAGATTTTTAAACTTTGAACAAGAATATCTTATAGTCAGCTGTTGTCAAGATATTGACATTGGCAGCACAACTTTTATACAAAAATTTAAAAGTATTTTTTAAAGTGCAGTCATTTTGATTCTGTAAATGTTCTGATGGTGATTCTGGTCATTCCCTCAATCAACATTTTGGTAACCTTTTTGCAAAATTTGACTATTTCATGAGAACACATTGACTATTTCATGAGAAATCCTTGTTTAAAAATGTGGTTAAAACTGCATATTTTTTGCTGACTCAGCATGTTTTTTTATAATTATACTTTTTATTATATTTATTCTAAATAATTTAGAATTTTTAAGCGTGTTTTGCTTATTTTTAAAAAGCAAAAAAAAGCTTTTGGAATCAAAAATAAGAAGTATCAAATCAGTTTGTTATTAAGTTTGTGGTATAAATCAGAGGCAAGTTTAGGGAGCGGGGTCCTAACTCAGACTTCCTAATCACTTTTTTCAAATTTTAATTTCGGACGAAATAAAGTTTCTTTTGGGTCTAGTTTAAACTATCATTTAGTGAAGCAAACAGCATGAGAAAAATTAATTCACGTGAGTATTTGTTAAAAAGTCAAAAAATATTTTTCTGTCCTCCCCTAAAATATATCTGAATTCGCCCCTGATATAAATGATGCTTCAATTGTGGATCATGAATTTGCACCTAAAGCGATAACACTTAATGGTTTTATAGTTATTAGTTATATGTAATGTGGTATTATGGAGATTTACACAATTTATGATTTTGCGGGGGAGGAGGGCGCCAAGTATGGTGGGGCGCACGGGAAAATTTCCCGGTTTCCCGGTGGGCCAGTCGGCGTCTGGATAATATCAACATAATCTACGATAATTTTTGCAAAAAAAACTACTATTCAAACTTGCTTAATAAATATAAGCACAACTCAAAACGTGTCTGGCAAATCATGAAGGAGGTGCCTGGAAAACTCAAACCAAATAAAAATTTACTCCCAAATTTTATACAAATTGACAACAAATTAATAAATTACTCAAATGATATTGCATTTGAATTTAACAAGTTTTTCTCTACTATCCGGACAAAATTAAGCGATAGTACTTCATTCATTAAAGATAAATCTGTTGATGAGTTCGAAACATCAATAAGCTACATTTAAAATTTTACTGAGTTAACTTTTAATAAATTTGAGGTTGCTTTTAAGTCATTAAAACGAAATAAAGCTACTGGGTATGATGATATTAACACAAATGTTGTAATTGATTTCTACGATGTTATAAAAGATATTCTTTATAAAATCTTCAGAGCATCCATTGCACAAGGTTCTTTCCCAGATACACTAAAATAAGTGAAAGTAACTCTAATCTTTAAGGGGATCGTACAAATATAACAAATTATCGCCCTATTTCAGCTTTTCCAGTTTTTTCAAAAGTTAAAAAAACCTTGCAAGAGGCCTCGGTCATCCGACCAAATGTTTTTCATAATTGAAAAAACACGCTCTACAGGTGCAGATGTTCCTGGAAGACACAAAACGTACTCAATAAGTTTAACTAGATTGCGTACAGAAATGTCTTTTTTTTGAAAATGTTGGAACAATTGAACCCATTTGTCATCATAAGCAATTTTTGTGGTTAATGAACTCCACTCTTCGTTTTTTGATGCAAAATAAGTTTTTGCACTTGATATCTAATCAAAAAAACTATAATTTTTTATAGTTTTTTCGGAAAAAAATTATAATTTTTTTCCGATCATCCAAACCATGTATTTCGTTTATTGCTTCGGCAGATTGTTCAATCTTCTCCCATTTCAGTACGTGATCAAGCCCAATCCATGCAAATATCTCAGCACCACCAAAACATTTTTTGCCATAGTTCAATATAAGAAATACATCCTCTATAAAAGTTATTTATCTCTGTCATAAATGTAGTAACATCCTGACTACTAAGTTTTCTCAGCAATTGTTTCGCTTGTGGGAGAAAATTACTATTTATCCTTTCCACAAGATTCGATTTTAGCTTTTTTAGTTCCAAAATAATGTCTGTAGCATTTGCTTGGTTTTTTTCCATCATTAGAATAGTCTTATTAAAATTATTAAGTTGTCCGTGCACAAACCAAAAATATAATTCACCAGTTTCACTTTCAAAAAAATCTTGCAAGGCACGTGGACAGTTCTCTTGTGAAATAAAATATGACTTTAGTCCTTCAAAAATAAATAATATTCGTTCAACTGCTGGAAACAGAGAAAGAAATCTGGTACTTCCATGCTTGATTATTTTCCTATACTCCACATCTACAAATTCACAAAATTCCTTCAGTTTAGTTACTCTTACCGTATAGATATGAAAATTTTTATATATTTTTACAACAAGAGCTTCAATATCGATTGGCAGACCATCCACAGCAGATTGAAATGTATTGTGCACAATATGTGCACCACATCCAATGCCAACAATATTAACACCAAGTTCTTGTTTTAGCCGGTTAGAAACATTATTTTTTCTTCTTCTATGGACTCCACCAAAATTTGCGTTGCAATTATCAGAACAAAAGGCCACTATCTTTTTATCAATTGCATGACGCTGCAACGTTGAAATTAACTTATCAGTCAATATTTCCGATGTTTTGCCATCAACAGACTCAAAATCCAGCAATTTTACACGGACACCTTCCAATGGTAAAAAGTATCTGACAACAACAGGTGATAGTTTTACTTCTTTTCTATTTGAAGTGTCATTAGAAACACTAACATAATATGTCATCTGTAAGTCAGCATGTATTTCTTTTAACGACAAAGGTGCTAGAACATTTAAAATTAGAGCTTGACATTAGGTTCTTGCAGCACCAAATTTCGGCTCAAAAAATTTTGAGATTAATTTTGACGAACAATCAGAAGTTTTGAAGCTCATATCATGCATTGCCGTGTGAATAGCAAATGTTGCTTCTTTGGCTGCAATAACTAAATCACCCTTATTGGGTCCATCGTTTTTAAAAAAAAGATTTAATAGACGAAGAACTTGCTGCAGCAGAGACCCCATCCTTGTGTTTGGCACACTTTAAATGATTTTTTATACCTGCTCTTTCACCATGAGCAACAGAAAATTCCGTCAATCAATGCCTTGTAGTCCTC